AAGACTGACACAGTGTTTGTCAAGTTTTAAACTTGACGCATGGAGAAGCAGGTTGAGCTGTTCTGTGGTTTTGCCTGATGACGTTTGTCAGTCACATACCTGTCATCCAAAACAAACCCTTTTCCAGGCTGGCCTTTCACAGCTCCAAAAGCAGTGACTGGTACTTACAGGGTCATCTCCAGGGTTAGGAGCCTCTGGGATAATTTCCTGAGGCATTATGACACAGAAATGTCGTAGAAATAATGATTGACTCATTGTCCAGTAGAAAGAAACTCGGTGACTAACATAATTCATTCAGATTAAAGTGCAAATTTCTTATCTATGACATAAATATCATAAAAGTTAGGCATGTCTGGTTTGTGTAAGAGTCCTTGTGTTTCTTAGGAAAATAATCAAAGCAATTGAAGTGTTTTTCTCTGAAAAACAATATTAAAAGCAAGTAACATTGTGCATAAAAAAATATGGGAGGTGACCCACAGAGCTGATGTATTTGCACAGCTTACTGTATAAATAAGATTTAATCCTGAATGGAGCTCTAGGGCACTAGTATAAAAATATTTTAATATATTAATAAACAATGAATCTCGAAAGAGAGAAACCAGACATCTATGATAACAGCAAATAAAACATCTGTGATGTTCTGTTGAAATTATTTTGTTAAAACTATGTTTATCCGTCTCTCTAATCTTACAGTCTGTAGGCAAAAAGATTACTCATTTCTTCAGTGGAGTCAGAGATACGCTTGGAGTTTTACAGGACCAGGAGATGTGGTGGTGCATGGTATGCAGACCTTACAGAGTAAGGGACTGCTCTACCACACACTCATTCAGCAGGAGCATCCTCTGTCATTCAGGCTGGAACCCCCAGGCCTTACCATCCTTCTGTTATCTTTAGTGGGATATGAGGGTCCCCTGCTACAGAGTAGGTCGCAGGCCCAAAGGCTGAATCAGGCAATCACTTGACCTGAGAGGAAAGCTTTAAAAACTAAATAAATATTGAAACTAAAAGAGATAGTTATGGGTTACCCGTGTTCTTCGTTTAGAGAAAAATGTAGCAGCTTAACTCATTTGCCCCATGTAGATACTTACTGTGATACCTAGCAGTCCATAGGAATCTATTTCAAATCTAAATTACTGCCAGGATCATATAGGTCATTTTTAGGGTGTTTTCTCCAGAAAGTGCTAGCTGCTACCTATTATCTTTTGACACCATTGACCACTGTCAGACAAATCTGATGGCGAGGTAGTAATTTTTTTCATTCCTCTAAGTTATGTGAAAAAGAACAACCAAGAAGAAATATAGAGGACCATATTAACACTGTCATAAAAAAAAAAAAAAGAAAAAAAAAGAAAAAAAGAAAAAAAAAAAGTTTGAGCACAACTCTTCTTGGACATGTAGAGAACCTAAACAGAAAAGAGCCAATAGAAATGCCTCAACTCTTAGAAAGTTTTCACGCAGCTTTCACTTTTTAAGGTGAAAGCACTTAAGCACTTTTCTAAGAAAAATACAGACCCTGCAAGACTTTCCCAGGTGGTACTCCCAGGTTGTAAATTTCAGTTTTGTCTAAACAAGTTCTAGTTGGCAGTAAAAGGATTTGGTGAACAAACACACTTTGTTTTGGGCTTTTGGAGCTATTGGTCTTTCAGAGGAAACAAGCAATAATCTGCTTAAAAGTATGGTAGTTTCTAATGGATTTATACTGCTTTGACAAAAATTTGAGTTATTCCTTTTATGTTCTGATTTAATGTTTTAGGTAAAATAGGAAGACAAAACTCTTACGGAGTTTTTTAACCGTGAAGTTTTATACGTGGAAATTTAGTGACTTGCAATTCTTGTTGTTTTCATCCTAATTCCAAGAATAACATATAACAGTTGAGCTCTTCAGCAAAATCCTGATGGGGGCAATGTAATAAATATCCTTTAATCCCTTCTACTGGGATCAGACAATGTGGTAGAACAACAAACATGACAGTGTGACTGTTTGAACCATCCACTTTTTGCCAGAATGGCATTTATTTTCTCAACTGCTAAATTAATTTAGTTCTGCTTTGGAGAACTGTCACTTCTCTCAGTGTGTTGCATCAGCAGCAGTATCCTACTCAAAATCAAACTGTTTCACAGCTGTAAAGGGAACTGATCTCCAGGATACATTTTTTCCTCAAAATCTAATTTGTTCATGAATATAATAAAGCAATTAAGATACATTCAAAGTGCATCAGACAAACTTTCCTTTGTTTTTTCATTTTGAGAAAGGTTGGTTGAAGTGTTTACTTCTTTTCCCTCTGAGTGACACCAGTCCTTCTGGCAGCTTCTTACAGACAGTGGTGCGGAAACTATTAATCCTTAGCCAACAGCAGTAGGACAGGAATGGAGATAGGGATGTGTGGAAACAGAAGTTCTTTCAGCCTGTGAGGAGTTGATATAGATGTTCACAAACATTTTGATGTACTCTGTCATTAAAGTAGTAATTACTTAAATATGCTGGATGTATTTAATGCTTGTTTTCCTACCTGGCTTTAAAAAAAAGTGCTTCTTAATAGTCTGCTGTACTACTTTGGCATTTCAAGACTGTTTCTTTGGGTTAATACATGTAGCAATACTAACATTATTAAGGCCAAATATTAGAACAAGCCATAACAGTTAATGACTTGCTTAGTTCCAGACCTTTTCTACAGGGTGGACCAAATCTTTGACAGAGAGAAAATAGTGGAGGAAGCCCCTACAAGTACCAACCCGAACCCCATGTGGTGGAACTGAACTACATAGTGAGGACCAGATTATATAGTTCTCCTACAGTTGTGGGAGTCAAAAGTGTCATCCTTACATTAAACTACTTAAAACAAACCTGTTTTAAACCACAGTATCTTCTTACTGGACATCTTCAGCCTTCCCCTTACCTGATTTTGCAAGAATGTGAATATATGCCCCTTAAATATGCAGTCATAAGGTATAAGGAGATTGATATATGGCATATGTGAATTTCTCTGAGACCAGTAGAAAAATATCAAGTATGGGTAGAAAAATATGCTTTCCCACCCATGAAAGCAGTAGCACAGTTCCTTCAGGTCGTCATTTAATATATGTTTTGCCTTTGCATTTGTTTATATGGTCCTTTTTTATAATATAAGTGTAAATAGAGTAGTTTGACAAGCTGTCCATAAATGGACTTTATCATTTTTGTGCCTGTTGTTTCCTGGAAGTTACTACATTTTTCTGCTCAAGGAGATAAGGCAGTTTTCATATCTTAAGGCTCATGCTGCTGGCAAAGCATAAAGCAATAGGTCTCCAGGTTCAAAAGAAGACCAGTTCTGCTCATGAGGGCATGGTCTGTATGTACAAGGCTACTAAATGGTGCGCTTGATTTTTCTTCTCTGGAATGGAAATTTGGAGAGATTCCTGGCATGGAAGCAACCAAGTGTTCAAAGTGGAACTAACAGAAAAAGCTTCTGAGAAATCTGCAGTCACTGAGTTGCTTTCCCAAATGCACATTCCAAAATCTGATCAAGAGGGCTTTGTTTTACATGTGATTGTGGAGGGTGTTCATCAGCTTTCTAGGTTGCTAAACCAAATAATCTTTTTGTATTTACATCTTAACTGCAGTATGACATCTGAACACTCCACAAAGAAAGTGTTTTGAGTCACAGTGCTGATGATTTTCTCTCGAAAACATAAATGGAAAATTATTTCTTTTTCTGTTGTGATGTGAGTGATTAAGAAAAGGGATGCTATTTTTTTCTATGCTGAATCTGTTTTAATATGGCTATGCTTAATAGAAGGTGGCAACATTGACTAAAATGTTAAAAGTCACTTCAATTTATAGGCCATCAGTTAAGGCTAACAGACATCAGTTAAGTACTAACAGATAGACTTACTGAAAAAAATCACATTTTGAAATGCGGACTGTTTTTTGAAATGCTGTGGTAGTGAGAGAGACAGAAACACTTCGTCCAGTGATACTGTTGCTTCAGATTTGAAGGTTACACCAGGCAGAAGAGCAAAAAAAATGGTCAGCAAATGCCGGAAAGAGATCTAGATCTGCGTTTTGCAGTAGACCTTCAGCTCATCTTCGTTTTCACTAGCCTGCATGTTCCAAGAGCTTCTTGCATCTGCCTACATCCAGAAATATAGTCCACACACTGACCGTACCTGGAACACTTCACAGTTTGCCTGAGACCTTTTCTTGCCTGAGACAAGATCTTTTCTTGTCTCAAAGATGCTCCTATTTTAAGGCAGCAAGGTAGTCAAAAGCCCTTGGCTGTGTGCTTGGTAGGTCAACTTCTTTCCAGCTTCTTGGCATCCCTCAGACAACCTCAGGTGATCAGACAACAGTGATGAATCTGGAATATACCTCTTAAACTGTCTTAAAAGGGCTTAGAGCACTGAAAAGACTAGCATAAATACACTGTAGTATTGCTTTTCCTTCTCTGGAATACTATGACAACATTTACAAAAATCATGACAAATCATTAAATAAAATGTATGCTATCCCTATCATCATATAGCAATTTTTCTCTTTGAACGGAATTAGTTTCTAAAGGTGTGAATGAGAGATATAGCCTTCTCTAGTGTGGGATTAGCAGCAGTGCTAAGATCCACTAGAACCTCCTTTTTAATAAGGAAAAAATGTACAATACCAAGTGGTTATGGCTAAACTTCATTCTTTTCGTTAGCCTTTAATTTGTTTTTCCTAGATACCATATTCATTGCTAGACATGATGGGATTGTTTATATTAATCTGTGAATTGGAAGGAGAACATTTGCTGTCACTTCCTTTTTTTTTTAAAAAAAAAAAAAACAACCCATTTGAGTAGTATGCAAATTTTCAAAGTAACTGGTGTTTCTCTCAGAAACTGTATTTCTTTCCCTCTTATTAAGGCTTAATGAGTTAGAAAAAGAATCTTTGAAATAAATAAAAAAAAATCCACACAAAAATCTCTGATTTACAGAAGTTAATGTCTGGGGACTCCACTCCCTGCAATCTCTTCTTGATCATTCTGCAGACAGAAAGGGGCCACAGCAGCCTGCATTACCCTTGCTGAATGACCGTGGCATGGAGCTAGCCCTCTTCGGCTTGTGTGATTCTGGCAAAAAGCTCGCTCCTGTGCCTATGCCAAAAAACGATGGGTTTTTGACTATCCAGACTGGGAATAATTACATGGTGCGGCCCAGAGGTAACCCAGAGGTCAGGAACACTTCTGTGAGGCTGTCAGATCTGGGTGACTGCTGTTTATTTTTTTATTTTTAGCTCAGCAGTGACAGGGTGTTATACTTAAAAGCTGTTAACCTAGACAACATTTTCCACAACATTTTATAACAGCAAAAGCGTGGAGCAGATTTAGAGCTTCAGTACTGCTTGGAGAATCTTTCCTGAGGCCGCTCAGCAACCAGGCGGGTGCTTTTGTCATGGGTGCCTTGTCACTAGCTGATGCCTTAGAATAAGGATATTTAAATTGGTATTTTTAATGCGTAGATAACGAACTGAGCATTTTGTTAGTTTAATTCAAATTCAACGTGTTTTCGTTGCTTTCATGCTTCTCAGAAAAAAAACCCACACTCTTACAGTCATCATTATCTCAAGGGGTGATGCTTGATCATGAAGCAAAACACAAATTTCCCAATATCTGATTTTCAAGAAGTGCTGCAGGCTGGCCAGACAAGAAGCCAGTGTTGGGCATGCTCGTTTTACCTCACTTCATTATGTGTTTTATCCTCAATGAAATCATTGTATAAGGTCATCAGATAACTATGCATATGTTAAACTCATCTCTGACTCGTCAGAAATATTTAACATAGCACACTTACAAACATGCCATGAACAGAGTTTCTTACATTTCTAGCATGGATCTGGATGAAATCTGCACTTTGAGGTCAGCGTACAAATTGTTCCTTTTCAAGAACCAGTCGCACTTAGCTTAGGGCTATTTAAAAATAATTCAGAAGGGCAGTGAGGTGAGCTGTGATGATTTTGTTGTGTTGGAGAATGTCACAGATTCCCTTCTGATGGATGCAAAGTCTGGAATATCCTGATTTTGCTTGCCAGGGGAAATTTGGGATAGGGAGGGGGTTGGGTAGCATTTATAGTAAGTATAGCCTGCCTCTATGATTCAGTGGGGAGGTTGTTGTTAAGTATCTGTTAACGTTGCAGTGACAGATTAACCGTGATGCAGGCAAATGCTGATTTTTTTTTTCTGTAAACAGCTCTGCCAATTAATCTCAATCCAAACTCCTTGTTCCCGTCATGCCTTTTTTTTTTTTCAAAAATGAGTGGAGACTGTTCAAACTTCTGTCATGTTTTTGAAATATCCATGAGTTTGCACAAAGTCCAGCGGCTCCGAGGGAAGCCGAAGCAGCCGAAGCACTGGAGCACGTGCTTGGTAGTGTGAAATAGATGAAGCTAGTGTGAACCCTGAGTGTCAAACTGCAACGCGCTGAACTATTTAGCCGCCCTCCTTCCTCCTTGCGGTTCAGTTCTGCGAGTTTCAAGCCCACAGGCTGCTCTGAAAACCGACCTGCAGCAAAGTCGCACGGGCGGCCACTTCCCGTCCCGATGTCCCCGCTCCCACTGCTCCTCTCCCCGAGCCACCACGGGACGCGCTGCGCAC